CCCCATGGAATCTGCACATTAAAGTTTAATAACCACTAGCCTAAAGCAATGGCTTTGAAATTTCACAATCTCCCTACACCCTACACACACACACACACACACACACACACACACACGGAGACATACATGAACGATACATACATTTTTGTGCTGTACTAACATAGGATGTACATTTTTAAATATGCACAAAATATAAACATTTAAAAGGATGCAGTAGAGTCTACATTTGAACGATTCTATTGCTATTACCTCCTTGCTGCCCGCTCTTGGATCCCCGTGGCTCAACACATCAGAGATGCCTGCTCTAAGAAAGCAAATAGAAGCAAGGGGCACCTGAGGCACACGCTGGTCAGTGTGCGGAAGGCCACGTGGGATAGGAAACACACATGGAGAGTGATGTGTTGGACCAAATGGGATATATGACACCCCAAGTGCTTATCAACTTGGTCAGCTTGAGAAATGTAAAACCCATTTTCTCTTCAAGGCAGAACGTTGAAGGATACTCTGTATACTCTGAATCCAAATCGAGTCTAAGTCTGTATTTCTAGCTCGGTCATTCAAGTCAGTGACATATATGTGCCCCTCCCCCACCCCCACCCCCCAACCCTACTTATTTTTGAACTGGTTCCCCTCTGACCCAGAACATCATATCCCATATCTTCAAATGAGCCCCGCCAGTTACTAAACCTGGACAGCTCTGAGTTCGCTGGGACGGCCTCTCTGCCTGTACTTCTCCCTCCAACAATAAGTCCCTACCATTCGGCAAGTCTCGCGCTGGCATTAGGGTTGAAAGACAAATTAAATACCCACCAGAGCTTCATTTAAAGAGAAAGAGAAGTTTCTAAACAGATCATTACACCAACACCTTGAGTTTGGTCATGAGGTGTAGACAGTTTGCAAAAGGCAGAAGAGAGGAACAAGAGAAACTCCCTGGGAGTGGGAGGAGGGGACATTCAGGGGTGAATAGGAGTTTGCCAGGCCCAGGGCACAGAGGAGGAATTTAGGGTGAAGGGACCTGTCTGAGCAAAGGCACTGGGCAGGAAGCTGCTTTGTCAGTGTTCGTCTTTGGTGAAGCGCAAACTCTTCTAACTGAGTCAGTGAGAAGGAGCCTTGTGTTAACAGGAACAGTCACTCCTCACTCACTGGACACCCGGTCCTTGGATCTGCACAGTCACAGTGTGTCTGAGAGTCACTTCTTCCTTACGGTTTGGCCACGACAGCGGGTGGGAAGCTTCTCGGGAGGAGCACAGTCAGTGCTGCCCATTGACCATATGACCCGGGACGTTTGGGGATGGTCTGTGCTGGGGAAATTGACTTTTCAGATTAACTTCATAAAATTGGAAAATCCAATCGAAAAACCTTCCTAATTTTGTTTTCCTTTGAAGAGATAACCGCGGTGAACATTTTGGAGGCATTGCCTTTTAATACCACCTAGAGAGACCATGAGAGCGATCGCACCGTGCACTCAGCTTTACCTACACCTTCCTCTAGCTTCACCTGTCTAGCTTTGCCATGATTTTTAAAGACTACCTAATATTTCAGTGTATCAATATTTATAAATGTAAAATCCATCCTGTATTGTGGGTGATCCAGGTGGGCTTGAATATTTTAATAGTATAACTAAGGCAGAGAACATACTTACGTATAATCCTGACATTTCTTATTCATTCTTAGACATACATTTACTGGGTCAAAGAGTAGAAATCGTTGTGAACTTTCAGTAAACCTTGTCAAATCGCCGCCAGAAAAAGCGACGCCAAATCACTCCATTGGAAGCCATGTACAGAGCCATTCATCTCCATAGGCTTGTCGGTGAGGAATGCTGACATGGTTTTTAAAACCTGTGATCAGTGACTAGCTGTGTTTCTTGGACCCATGGCCCCACTCCGCCGGCCCCGGAGCTGCCCGCTCAGTGTGGACTGCTTCTCCCACACTCTCTGTCTAGGAGAATTCGCCTGCTTACATGTCTCAAACTCCATTTGTAGACTTAGACACGAAAGGCAGTCCTCCTGACTGGCCCTTCCTTGAACATCAGACACATAGGCTCCAGTCTCATCTCTGCTTAGGTGTCCCAGGCAACCCCGTGTGCCCCCTCAAACCTCACCCCAGGCTGATCCTCCTGTAGTGACATTAAGCACTGAGTGAGACTCGGCTGGTGTGGGTGGGTGGTTGAGCATTGACCCATGAACCAGGAGGTCACAGTTCGATTCCAGTCAGAGCACATGCCTGGGTTGCGGGCTCGATCCCCAGTGTGGGGCGTGCAGGAGGCAGCCGATGATGGTTCTCTCTCATCACTGATGGTTCTATCTCTCTTTCCCTCTCCCTTCCTCTCTGAAATCAATAAAAATATTTTTTTAAAAAGAAAGTACGGAGTGAGCTCCAATCCCATAGGATAGCAAACCATTGGGACGACCGGCTACCTGATAACATAGGAATGCTTTTTGAATTACAGAAGAAGGTCCAGCTTCACTGGGGCCAGTAAACTCCCACAACCCCGGTCACCTCATTTCCATGCAGGGATGTCAGGACTCAGCTTTGGGACCTCGTCTGCCTGTCCACCCTCACCCCAACCCCCACCTGATAGAGTTGCCCTTTGAGTCCACCTGGAATGGGGTCCTCGCTTCTCTCGATCTGCTGGCAACCCCTTGTCCAGGCAGCAGCATTTTAGGCTTGGGTTCCTGAAAGCACCAGTTCACCAGACTCTCAGCATCCATGCTTGTGTCTTTCCACTCCCCATGCTGGGTCAAAGTGATGACTTTAAAAAGCAAGTCTGGCTTGGCCGGTGTGGCCCAGTGGATAGAGCACTGGCCTGTGGACTGATGGGTCCTGGGTTTGATTCCAATCAAGGGCATATACCTCGGTTGCAGGCTCGATCCCCAACCCTGGTTGGGGTGCATGCAGGAGGCAACCAATCGATGTGTCTTTTTCACATCATTGTTTCTCTCTGTCTTTCTCTCTCCCTTCCACTCTCTAAAAATCAATGGAAAATACCCTCAGGTGAGGATGAACAAAACAAACAATAAAAGCAAGTCTGAGCTCTCTCTTCTGTGATTGAAACCCTGAGATGCTTCTTTTCCTAGAATCAATGGTCCTCAGGGAGCCCACTGAGCCCTTCCCGGCATGGCTCTGGCCTAAGCTCCTTTGTACTGTATCTAGAGAGAACCTATGGATGGATTTCAGACAGACAATGCATAATGTTTAGTATATGTTATATCCCTTATTGCACAGGGCTTACTGGTACTAAACAATTAGTTGTTCTCCATCTGAAATTTAATTTTAACTAGACATCTTGTATTTTACCTAATGACCCTAAAAACACCAAAATTGAGCCAACAGTACTCACGCTGATGAACCACCAATGGTTAGAACATGTTTTCTCACACTGTTGACCGATGGGTATTGCTTTACTCGGAAGGCTCAGGCTCTGATGGAATGTGAAGGGAAGTATGTTGACATGTGAAATTTCCTTATTATCACTCACTGCTCACAGCGTCTATGTTTTCAACTTTGGGACAAGCAGATGATTCGGAAATACTGCCAGTTCCTAAAGTAAATGGACCGCAATCCAAGAATGTTGGTGTTAGCTGTGTTCCCGGGAGACCCTGTGCTATCCAGTTTCCATATCAGAGCAGTGTGGTCAACGATTAGACTGACAGTGAGTGAATTTCAGAACCTTCAGAACACTCCTCCCTTTGTTAAGTAACTCAGTTCCAAATCAAGCAAAAGTCACACTTGCCTTTTTCCCGGACGAGATTCCAATCACGATAATAATGAGCATAGAAATCACCAAGGAGAAGAATTCCACCCTCGTACGCAGGTGAGTCACACCCACGTCCATTAATCATCCGTCAGAGACCAGCAGTTCCAAAGTCATGTTAAACAGAAGGAAAAGCGGTCAGAATGAAGCCAGGAAACCAAGCCAGCCTGAAATCACTGTGTGCATTCGTAATGTGATTCTCTTTCTATATCTCCATGCCTTCATGTCGTGAAATTATAAATACGAGACAGAGACAGACCTGAGTGGCTAAAGGTGGTGCATCCCCCTAAATGAGAGGTTCATTTAGGGGAAAATCACCTTGAGACATTGCAAGTTCTACAAGGACGCCTCATAAACACTCCGGAATCTGTCCTGAGCCACTTCCCAGGACAACCATGAGGGTGAGAGGAAGCGGCACCCGTGCCTACTCCCCGTTCTTTTCTCCCTTTTCTCATGCTCTCACTGAGACCAGTTTGAGGTTTCCTGAAGTGGAATACACTGAATGAAATCCTTCTCTACCAGGCCTGGCCGGTGTGACTCAGTGGTTGAGCGTCGACCTATGAACCAGGAGGTCATGGTTCCATTCCCAGTGGGGGCACATGCCTGGGTTGTGGGCTCCATCCCCAGTGTGGAGCGTGCAGCAGGCAGCCGATCCATGATTCTCTCTCATCATTGATGTTTCTCTCTCTCCCTCTCCCTTACTCTCTGAAATCAATAAAAATATATTTAAAAAAAATCTTTTTCCACCAGTGATTTCTGACAAAGCAGATGCCTTCCACTCTCACTTACTTCAGGTCGCACCAGAAGGACTCCAATGCTCTGCGGAATGCTCAATGTACTCCTCATGGGAACATGGGAACGGGGCTGTCTTGTCTGTGCTGCCTTTGAACTAATGCGGACAAGATCCCAGGAGCCTCTTCTCTGCCGGGAAGATGGGGCAGCGACTCCGGAAGCTAATGCTGTCGGTCTGCCTTGGGCTTCCTTCCCCGCCCCCTCCGACATACGTTTCCCTGTTTCCCCAGTCATCTCACAACAATGCACATCCGAGCCCTGCTGTGATTACAGGGAGACTGTGCTGATTACCAAGCTCTTCACATGTCAGAGCATGGCGAGGCCAGGGTGGTAGACCAAAGGAAATTTCCATTCTCCCTTCAGCTGCTGCGCAGGCTTGCTCTATATAGGAAAGTTAGCTGCTATTAAGTAATAACGTGCAGCTGAAGTTGGTCACTCGTAACAGCAGACAGATGGATAATGTTTTATTTGGGTTAGCCAGCTCTCTCGCAAATAAAGGGCCTGAAATTAAACTGTCTTTACAAACACATTCGGCAAATGATACCTCTGACTTATTCCGGTGCTCGGATTCTTTGCCATGGAAAATGGAAAATGCGTCTCCCGTTGAACCCAGTATCTGTTGAAACTTGTCTTTGCCGAGTGGAGAAAGGTTGATGTTCTATGGAATGAAAAAAAAAACTAAAAAAAGACTCTGCGTTGAGGAGGAAAGGGTATAACTATGCAAACCGCATTTAGAGATGGAAAGGGACTTTTTAGGACTTATGGAATTCAAAACAATAATAATGGAATGGAAACACAGGGAAAAGGCTAAATATTTGACCACAGAGGCAAATTGGATCATTAGACGCTCCCATGCAATGCAAAATGTGGGGTTTGTTTTGAAAGGCGCACTTGTTGATTTTCCAGTGGATAATAGGACAAAAGAAAGAGCTGGCCAAGTCACAGGCCATCATCACAGGCGAACCAGCCACGGGAGCTTCTGGGGGGCTGTGTTCCTTGTAAGACACGTTCCTGGGCAGCACTGAGAGATTGTGATTCAGAAGGTCAAGTGTGGGCTGAGAACTGGCATTTCTAATGAACCCCAAGTGATGCCATGCTTCCCTTGGGGGTCCCCCTACTCTATGCTGACCTACCTTCAGTGTCCAGTGAGATGGACCGCTCATCTTAGGCAGTGGTCGGCAAACTCATTAGTCAACAGAGCCAAATATCAACAGTACAACGATTGAATTTCTTTTGAGAGCCAAATTTTTTAAACTTAAACTATATAGGTAGGTACATTGTTATTAACTTAATTAGGGTACTCCTAAGGCTTAGGAAGAGCCACACTCAAGGGGCCAAAAAGCCGGATGTGGCTCTCGAGCCGCAGTTTGCTGACCACGGATCTTAGGATATTTCATGACAACCAAGAGAGGTGTCTGCCTATAGAATGGATTAGCCTTGCCATTGGCTCAGTGACCTTGAACAAATCACTCTCTTTTTTATTCTCTCCCCCTCCCCCCCAGACATAAAGTACAGTTTAGACCAGATTGGAACTCTTCAAAGTCCTGGAAATGTCAAATAAACGCCAGTTAGGCAGGTGTCTTTGCTGTAGGACTTCTCAGAGCCTGTACTGTACAAACACGTGGTATGACTCTCCAATGGGTGCAGACAGTGGGGTGTTTAGAGGTTTGGTAGGTAAAGCGTCCGGGTCATCTGACCACCTCACTTTCTTTGGGAACACCTGTAATCACCACGCACAGGAGGAGGCTGAGCAGGAGGCTGGCTAAGGTCCTTCTGGCTGCAGCTCTCATGGCCCCAGAATCCAGGCTCCCTCGTCAGGCCTCCCATGTTCTCTGGGATGGTACCCACCGTCCTAGAATAAGCCAGTGTGCCTGAACTTCTGTCCCCTGGGGCACTTCTCTTGGCTCCCCCGAGACTCCGCCCGGCAGCTACCATATTTGTTTATTTCACCCCCATGGACTTTCTGTTTCTGCTCCTTTGTTTCAAGGTAGTGAGTCTGAACTTGCAGACAACCCAGTGTATGTGCTTGTGAATTTCCCACGCTGTCTACATAATTCATTGAGCGGCGAACAGTGTAGCACCTACTCTCACAGTGCAGTCTCAGAACTGGGGAGCTCCAGGGACTTATTAGAAATGCAGATCCCAGGCCCCTCTCTAGACCTGCTGGGTCACAAACTCATGGTGGTGCCCGGCCAAGTGTGGGTCAAGACCTCCAGGTCATCTGAATGCTTCTGAACTTGGAGAACCAGGGTTGCAGAGGTGAGGAGCATGGACTCAGGCCCAGACCCTGTGCTCTACACCAGTTGCCTCACCTGGAATACAGGAATGATCGCAGTCCGTCTTTCAGAAGTGACGTGAGAACTCAATTACTACATGGCGCCTCTGTAAGAACGGGCACAGGATGAGCCACTAGTCAATCACAGCTCTTTATCTAGAACAGATACTAACTCAGAATGAGCAGGAACGAAGGTACATGGTGTTGCAATGCATGTGAGAAGAGGTGCCCTCTGTGAGTGAATCTGAGGAAATGGGGTCGTGAATGTACCATAATCTCAGCTAGTTCTTCCCCCAATGGCAGTGTGATTCTCTGAGGAACCATGGCCGATTCCCCAGCTGCCCAGGAGCTGCCACCCTTCCAGCCGGCCATCCTCAGTCCTCCAGGCCCGAGAGAGGGAATGGGGCTCCAGGAGGAAAGAGTCATTTCCCTGCAGACAAGGACCAGAGGCCGCCCTTGGGAATCCGCTGAGAGCCAACTTGGGCCACCTCATCCTTTCTTACTGAGTATGTTCATTTCCAAGGCCACCTGAGCACAGCCATCCGTGTCCTCGGCGGAGATGGGCGGAATCAAGAAGTGGACTGAGAACAGTCAGACCAGCCACTGAAGCTAGTCCTGGTCGGCAGGGAGGAGCAGGGACCATGGCAGGAGGCCAGTGCCAGAGGTCCCGTGTGCCGTGCGGCCACGGTCCCAGGATCCAAAGGGAGGATAGCTAAGCCTCACTGATTTTATTGTCAATTACTTTTAAACCTTCTGAGTCCAGTGAACCTCCTGTCCAGCATTTCTTTGCCTAATTAATATTTAAACCTGTGTGCCTTTAAAGCGAAATTTAATCCAGGTATTTTGGATTCATAGCCAAAAAAAAAAAAGGAAAAAGAAAGAGATCACCAAAAAATTGTTTTGTCAATAATATTCAACATCCAAGAAAGTTTTTTGAGTTTTCTTTCAAACAGGAAGCTGTTTTGCTAAAGCTTTAAAGTCAAATTCCCATCGAATTTTGTGGCAACAAAAGTTTTCGTGGCAACAGAAGTTTTTCTCAGAACATTGAGAAAATACTTTGTTTCCAGGTAGAGAGGAGGGTTAGCTAGAACACTGTCTGAAGCTGCTTTGAGAAGTGTCTGGTGCCCCCTTCTCAGCAAAAGCCAGCAGCTGCCTCCCCAACTTTCATTTGGTCATGTTTCTGCAGGACCAAAGGCGTTGCTGCCCCCTCCCCCACCCCTCCCCCCGGAACACGGAAAGAACTTTTCCCAGCACGGGCAAATGGAAAACTTCCAAACCTGGACTCAACAGGGCTCTAGGTTTTTAGAAGGTCTCAGTGTTGCACTAACTAGGAAAAAAAACACATATTAATACTCTAAAAAGTTAATACCTAGCACTGGTCCACTGAGTAGCTGGCATTCACCTAGAAAGATGGTATAGATTGGACATTCTGGAAACTAATCAACAGGTGCGTGCCTTGCCTGTGTGCGATAGTCTTATCTGAGAATGCCAAGAGGCGGTGGGGGTGGGGGGAGTGGAGGGTAGCACTTACCTGTAGTCACGGCCTGGTGGTTCTCCACCTGTGTTCCCGGAGCCACGAGTCAGACATGCAAATTCTTGGGCTCCACCCAGACTTACTGAATCAGAACCTCCGAGCCTTGTAGGCGGTTCTGAGGCCGAGAAGCTTGAGCACCTGTGTCAGGTGGTGGCCAGCATGGGCGCAGGTGCCTCCGAGGGGCTGCTGGCGCCTGCCAGCTGCGGAGAATTTGGGTGATTCACTTAGCCTGCTTGTGCCTCAGTTCCCTCCTCCTGAGAAGGAATAAAATACTGTAAATTAAGAGCATATGATGCCCGGCTGGCATGGCTCAGTGGTTGAGTGTTGACCTTTGAACCAGGAGGTCACGGCTCGATTCCCCATCAGGACACAGGCCTGGGTTGCCGGCTCGATCCCCAGCAGGGGGCGTGCAGGAGGCAGCTGTTTCTATCTCTCCCTCTTCCTTCCTCTCTGAAATCAATAAAAATCTATTTTTCTTAAAAAAAAAAGCATCTGATAAAGTGTAAGTGATAAAGCAGGCATGCGAGTGAGGTTGCTGCTGGACCCCCACAGAGGGATGACGGAGAAAGAGGTCATTTGCCAAACTCACAAACACCCGGGAGAGCTGCGGGTAGAAGAGGCTACGCAGGTTGGTAGCTGGGACCTCTTAATGCAATTATTTACAATCATTGGTGGATTAGAAAGGAAGCATGAAGTGTATGTACCCTTCTTTGTGTAAGACGGATAAGAAGTGTGGATAAGAAGTGTGTGCGAGTGTGTGTGTGTGTGTGTGTGTGTGTGTGTGTGTGGCTCAGCAAGAGGCATTTCAGAAAAGCAGGAGGTAACAGAACCTGTTGAATTGAAACCGATCACATTCAACGCTGGCGGCTGAGGCTTAAGAATTCTGGCCTCATTCTTCCTGCCGTGAACCGCCTGTGTGAGGAAGGCGGGTGTGTGCCACCTCCCAGGTCTCAGCCACCTCGCTTGCAAAATGGGTGTCAGATGCCTAGGTTTTGACAGTCCTTTCAACTCTGATGGCCTGTGACTCAACAATAAGAATGCGTTTCCACAGGCGGTAAAAATATTCTAGACTCTTCCCTTCAGTCCGCAGTGTTTACTTCCTCCGCACTTCCCCTTCCTGCCTCCTGCCCGCGGGCCAGTGGACAGTGGGCCTCAATGGGGGCCAGTTCACCCTCTTTCCAGGGGGCTTTACGGTGGAACTCCCTCCGGAGGGTGAGAATTCCCTCCTGAGGGCTGGGCTTGGGGCTGCACTTTAATCCTTAAACACTCCTGAGTCTGTGCCCTGGCACCATGCCAGACGGCCAGGGGTTGGAGATGAATGCTAGGCCCCAGCCCTTGGGGAGGGGGGAGGGGGGTTGTTAAGGGTCAGTTTCTTTGTAAACACCTGTGAACCCCACGTGTCCCTCTCTCTTCCAGGCAGGAGCAGCACCCCATGGTAGCCAGGTGGGCGAAGGGGAGCCAGGACGGTGCGCCCGCCTTGAAGAAGACGGCTTCTGACCTGCTGAGTAAGTGACCAGGCAGCAAGCAGCGCTGGGGGCACGGGGTGCAGCGAGGGAGGCAGAAGGCGCCTCCCTTTGAGTGCTGTCCATCAGCTGCTCTTTTCCACGGAGAGATGCTAAAGCCAAGACCCAGAGGCTCCGGGTCTTCCTCCCCAGGCCACGCTCCCCGGCTCTGCTAGGAGGCGCTGCTGGGGTCATGAGCGCTGACCCAGGCCTGCAGGAACAGGGCTGAGGAAGCGGATGCAGCTCTTCCCAGGCTGGCCCGCTGCCCCTGTGGGAGAGGTTAAGGCAGGAGCTTCGCGGCACAGCCTTCACACACCCAGCCAAGTTTTCCAGTAGCTGCTTGTGCCCGCAGGACCCTGTGTATCACTCACGCTCCAAAACTGCAGCCTCCGTTTTGATTGCAGTGGCTGGGATGGCATGCACTTTCCCGGGCAGGTTTTTTTTTTGTTTTTTTTTTAAGTGCATGCAGTTACTTGTCTCTGCGAAGCGGGAGTTCTGAGCTTGACTGTGCACTTGGGCACGCCAGCACGGCCTCACTTCCAAACGTTCCCCCTGGTCCCGTTCCCGGTGGCCACGGAGACGTGAAGCTGGCGGGCCCCCTAGACCCAGGCTCATCCATTAGACCTTGTGCGTTTCTTTTAAATGGATCCCCAATAAGTGGAATAGGCTTCGGTGGGTAAAATAACTTCTGAATAGCTCATGGCCCTTCTTTGCAATGGAAAAAAGAGAAAATGGCTTTCCTTTCCAAGAAAAAAGAAAGATCATTCCAGGGGACATTCAGTAAATGACACCCTCTCGCTAAAGGAACAGGAACATTAAGAGCCCACAGTCCCCTGCATCCCCACGTGTCCGCCTGGGACGGATACAGTTTCACTTTCCTTGGAGGGATTTGCTGAGGATTATTTTCAAACCCCCTATTGAGGTCCTGCTGCTCTAAAGCAAGATTATTGCATGAATCACAGACCGCTGCATACCAGTTCCTTTTTATCACGGGGATTTTTAGAATTTTTTAAAAAATGCCATTTGGGGTGGGAAAAATAAACATGCCGACCAGGTAGAGTTCCCCCTAATCACTCCCATTATCTTTTCAAGGAATGTAGGGGTGACTCATCTCAGTCACCAGGCAGGTACTATAAGATGCTGGGTGGCCTCACACCCAGCGTGTCCCTGTCTGTGAACCAGCAAGCAGCGTGGGAGCCCAGCTTTCTTCCCGGTAGGTCTGCTGGCCCCACTGTTCCATCCTGCGCGTGTTTACTTGTTCTTTAACTCTTTAAAGTGCATCCCTGCGCTGGTTCTGCTGAGTTCTAAAGAAGTGAGGCAGAATGTGCGTGCCACACCGGAATGCCATACCTGCTATGGGATATTGATAGCACTGCTAAGATTAACCAGCATATCGATTAAGCTATTCGTCAAGCTTAATTATTCACTGCGTGTTTGTTTGGGGTTGGTGATAACTTAGTCTTTTCCCATGTAATCAAGACTAGGGGAGGTCATGGATTCTAAAGTATTCATTAGATTGGGGGGGGGGATAAATGGCTATTATAGGGAATATCATGCAAAAGGGTAAGTTTTAAATATTTTTATTACAAGTTTTAAAAATGTGTATTCGTATTCTCCATCGCTTATCAAGAACTACCTGTGGATGGTAAATTTTAGTTATATCTATACTGACCCTATGCTTAGTCAACTTATTTTTAAATTCTCTACAATTGGATATTATGGTAGCTGGATATACATAAGCATTCCTAACACTCTGTGGGGTAGATGCATGCAAGTATGGTATTGCAAAGGGAAGATTAGCATTATATTTTAAATGGCGGGGGGAGGCACTCGGTTTTGGCTCTTTATAGCACTATCTCATTTAACCATCACAAAACCCTAAAGACTAGGCTTTATTCTCGTTTTACAGATCAGAGAGCTGAGGTCCAGAGAGGTTAGTAGCTTGTCCCGGCTCACACAGCGGATAACTGGAGAGTCCGCATTTAACCCAGGTTTGCTTGTCTCCAGGGCTCCTCACCTCACCCCACTGCCTTCCTCAAGTCCAAGTGGGTTAGCCTTGCCTGCAGAAGTCTCCTTTCTTCTGCCCATCCACATGCTTTCATAGTCACGTCACATGTTTACCCTGGTTCTATCTTCTGGGCAGTCTGCCACTGTGACCGTGATAAAACGTCTCTTTGTCGCTTCCTCAGGTGGTCCCAAGAGGCTGAGCATGGACCCAGTGCACCTCAGCATGTCCAGCGCGCCCCTGGTGAGGCACTCGGACAGGCCCCGCGTCATGTCCAAGAGCGGGCACAGCAACGTGAGAATCGACAAGGTGGACGGCATATACTTACTCTACCTTCAAGACCTGTGGACGACCGTGATCGACATGAAGTGGAGATACAAGCTCACCCTGTTCGCGGCCACGTTCGTCATGACCTGGTTCCTTTTCGGGGTGATCTACTACGCCATCGCGTTCATTCACGGGGACCTAGAACCCGGCGAGCCCATTTCTAACCACACCCCCTGCATCATGAAGGTGGACTCCCTCACGGGGGCGTTTCTCTTCTCCCTGGAGTCCCAGACCACCATCGGCTACGGCGTCCGCTCCATCACGGAGGAGTGCCCTCACGCCATCTTCCTGCTGGTCGCTCAGCTGGTCATCACCACCTTGATCGAGATCTTCATCACGGGCACCTTCCTGGCCAAAATCGCCAGACCCAAGAAGCGGGCGGAGACCATCAAGTTCAGCCACTGCGCGGTCATCACCAAGCAGAACGGGAAGCTGTGCCTGGTGATCCAGGTGGCCAACATGCGCAAGAGCCTCCTGATCCAGTGCCAGCTCTCCGGCAAGCTCCTGCAGACCCACGTCACCAAGGAGGGCGAGCGGATCCTCCTCAACCAGGCCTCCGTCAAATTCCACGTGGACTCCTCTTCCGAGAGCCCCTTCCTCATTTTGCCCTTGACCTTCTACCACGTGCTGGATGAGACCAGCCCCCTGAGAGATCTCACACCCCAGAACCTGAAGGAGAAGGACTTTGAGCTCGTGGTGCTCCTCAATGCCACCGTGGAGTCCACCAGCGCCGTCTGCCAGAGCCGCACGTCTTACATCCCGGAGGAGATCTACTGGGGCTTTGAGTTCGTGCCCGTGGTTTCTCTCTCCAAGAACGGGAAGTACGTGGCTGACTTCAGTCAGTTCGAGCAGATCCGGAAGAGCTCCGATTGCACGTTTTACTGCGCGGATTCCGAGAAGCAGAAACTGGAGGAGAAGTACAGGCAGGAGGACCAGCGGGAGAGAGAACTGCGGACTCTCCTGTTACAACAGAGCAACGTCTGATGGCGGTGCCCTGGCCTCAGTTGACTCTGCGGCCATTTCCACATCCGAGCTCCTTCGAACAAAAATGTGTGGATGCATTTCTAAAAACACTGCACAGATGTGCTAAATCCATCTTCTCCTTTGATCTGGTGGCTCAACAAGAATCTCCACCTTCGAGAGGGTTCCTTGTTTAAATGCTTTGTCTGAAGCAAACTCCCAAAGTTCAGATTTTCTAAGATGGGGCTACATTTGGCAGGACTTGGTGTAGGGCGATTGCAAACATGTCCTGCAGGATGGACGGACAGTCAGCATGCTGAGAGTGAAGGGAAGGCATTTCTCTAGAAGGCTATCAGCTGTAATATAAGGTATTTATGCAATCCGATATCAAAGGCATGTGGCCTTGAAATGTGGTTCAGTGTTCACTCACATCATAGTTTAAACTCTTTTCAAGCAGAGAAAATGGTTTATGTTCTGGAGGCTACCTGTTAATACAACAAATGGAGCAGGGGGAGTCTGTATTCACAAAATATAATAATTCCATTTCTGCCTTTTCCCAGTGGATTTAATTGTGCAGCGTGAAATTGGTCCCTCAGGAATTAACAGTTGTGAAAACATGTACGGATGGAACTGAGGCTGTTGTCTGCACTAATTTTTGCTGGAACGTATTAGCCCCTTCCTATTCAACATGTGGCTCCCAGGCCAGCAGCATCAGCCCCTGGAGAACTTATTAGCCACATAGAGGCCCAGGCCCTGCCCCACTTAGAGAACCAGAGTCTGTATGGTCCCCACACCCCCATGGGACTCACGCACACTTGAGTTTGAAAAGCTCCTCTCTGGGCAGTGCATTCAGAGTGACCTCGGAAGCTGCGGGCCAGTGAGGGTCCCCTGTCCACGTGGCCTCCAGATCTGTCCTTCCTTCGGTTCTTCATTGGGCACCAAGCTTCCTTTCAGCCACTTCTTTCCTGATCTAGTAAAACACCTTGTCCACAGGGGAAGGGTCACTGACAGTCCAAGAGCAAAATCAAACTCTTTCAGGTAATGGTCGCCTCATTCACGCTCAGTACCTGGTTGTCAATGATGGTTAGAACCAGAGGAAAATTAAGCTGTGCCATGGTCAGAACTTTGCTCAGATGTTGAAATCTAGTGGGTCCAATGGAGCCATGGGGAAGGAGAGTGGCTGAGGATAAATAATTCATACACAGGCCACTCCTTGAAGCATGAACAACATTTGATAATTTGATAACATGTCAAGAACGTCCTCAGCATTTAAACAAAGCTTGTGCAACTCAGTGTTACAGAGGTAACATTTGCCTTTGGCAGAATTTGGGGACCAGGCACCCTGCATTTCTTTGGGGTAGAGAAAATATGGGCTACGATTGGCTAAATGTGCGCAAGGTGAAATCTCACTTCATTGGAAACACGATGGATTTGCATATTCCCTCAAGAAAAATGTTACTATAAGTGTGTAGGTGGACCTACATGTAAGCCACATATGTATACACACATGCATACATAGGCACAGGCATGCAAACAACACAGACACAGGCACACACATGCACGCGATACACCACACACGTGTGCACACACACACACACGCACACACACACAGGGACGCACACCCTAGCTCTTGAAGCACGATGGTGGAAATTATCAATGAAAGACATTTGCAGTTAAAATTTTGTTCTCTAAGATGGGGAACACTGGGACTTGGAGGAAATGGGGAAAGTGGTGGGATTCAGATTGTCGGTGAAATGGTGATGTGGACCACAGCAAGTGTCTCTTGATGTTACCAGATTTCAAATGTCCTTTAACAGAAAATGTGGCTGACGCCACTGACCTGGAGCAGCCCATCGAATGCAGGGCCAGAATAATGGGGGTAAAGTCGTAAAGCTTCAAAGAACAATCTCAATGCACAAGAGCTTTTGTCTTATTATTCAGGAAGTTTTCTTCTGTTTCTGTTATAATTTTATGGCAGATTGTCTTAGATCTTAAAAACATTACATGTAGTTAGATATGACCCCTTTTAGTTGTGATGTGTGATTTTTTATTGTATATTGTGGTCTAATTGGCAGAAGAATAATGCCAGGGGCATGTTTACAGATTTTCCGTCGCACAAGTAAATTCTTCTCACAGTATTGCCATCAATGTCACTTGGAATGTGATCAAGGTTAGGAATCTTACCTGCTTATATTGTATATGGTACAATGATGTAGCACAAGATCGAAAAATCTCTTTTATGTTCACTTAGCAATCTACTTCAGCCAAATGTGGAAGACTTGATCATCTGATCTTTCACACTATACGCAAAATAAATATGTAGTGTCTTAAAAGCCAATACTCGTGGAAGTCAATAAGTGATATTACAGTGTAGTTTTTCATACGTAGGTCTAAAGTCATGGCTGGTTTGAAACTTAGAATTTTCCAGAAATATTTATTATGACTTTCTACGAAACACTCTAATGGAAAGAGCCTAACAAAAAAGGATTTGGATGGCAAACTGATTCTATGTGAACAGTCTTCTGATTGGAAGAGATTCACGCTTGACCCTCCAATTAAGAAGAAATCAAACTAATGGAGTGTTTTTGACCCGAAAAGTCTTTTGCATTTTGAAGGATTTCCAATGCACCAGGCCTTCTCAGTGAGACCATTCAAAAATGCCGTGTTCCATCAGAGAAACCACAAAGCCATGTCTTATTTCAGAAATAAGATGTGTTATAATTACATGGTACCCAGCAGCCAGTGGTCCCAGAAGCATAGCAAAGTGTCATTCATTGGCCCTCACAGTGGGCCGCCGTTGAGATGCGGGTGGAGGCACCCAGGGGTGCCCTTCCCCACTCATGGGGATGTTACAGCTCAGAGAGGAGACCAGAAATTGAAATAGCTGGTTCAAAGGGGGGAGATGCCATCAGTGAGCGGACCAGATGTTTAGATGCATTTACACAACCCATTGAATTAAATTTTCAATTTTTAATTGACTGTGATTTCGCTATCACTGAAATGTAAAGTAAGGTGTAGAGACATGTGACGCTTCTATTACAGGATGATCCTTTCTCCCTTGCTTAGATCCTCAGTCCTCTTATATAACCTGGAGGAAGGAGAAAATAGAAAAGCAAGGCAAAGAAAGCGCAGGGCCTTTGCACTGGTAGCTCGGTAAAGATCATCTCATCCTCGGCCTACATTCACTACCTTGTCACCATGGTCTAAGGGTCAGACATTTGATCACGTGACATAGGGAGACTTCCAGTCTCTCAATCTCCGCTCTCCTTTGAAACAACTAGTTTTGAATCCAGGTTATCTCATCATAGCTCCGTGGGACGGGACTCTGTAGTGAGAGGCATCAACATTTGCAGTCTTGGTTTCCAAGTGCGCACCCGACTTCCCGCACCTGACCCTGGGTAGGTCCAAGGCGCAATTGATGTTCTTCCCCTGGGAAGACGTACACTTGAAGGTCCAAAGCTTAACATTTCACTTCTAATGGATTAACTGCGCACATGTTGCCCTTTGTGAGTTTCAGTTTATCTATAATCAGAATGACCTGCCAATCAACCAAACCTCGTGCCTGTGGGCCGCAGTGAGTGGTGGGTGTTGGTTCTCAGCCTGAAGGGCCTCAGAGCAGAGCTGAGAGTCTGCACAGTTAGAATGTGCAATGAAATGATATGTGAGAACCTAATTGAGATTTTAAAGAACAAAAGAGTTAACTTCTTGAGGCATTGGTATTTGTCAGTAAACTGTTTTTCTTGTCGTTATGTTGTTCTGATTTTTTTAAAGAATCTAAAACAAAATCTTTGCCTTTCCAGTAAGGAAGGCACTGAGAAAAGTATAAAAACTGAAAGCTAGGGGTTGACTGAGCACCTCTCACGTAAGCCCTCTCCCAGCGGACAAGAACTTCTTTGCAGGCAAAGCTAGGCCACTCATCTTACATTACAACTGATTGTCATTATATCCTCTGGCTTCCCAGGAGGACCAGTTTTCCCAGTCTTTCAGAAACACTGACAGATTAAGTCCAATTTCCCCCCCAAAGTTTTTCCACTAAATGCTGACTGACAACAAAACATGAGGCAGAAATAAAGCTTCAGCCCTTTCCCTTTGTTCTCATCCTCTGTCTGTCTCCTGGGGGACTTGGTGTCCCCTCAGCTTGATCTGTGGGGGTTGGCTGTTCCATCCTGGCTGTCCATTCCATCAAGTCAGATAATCCTGTGGGTTCAAAATAATCAATCCAAAATCATAATCCTTGGACGTTTATGGTAGATGCCCAAAAATTGGGGACAGGAATTTTTTTTTTTCCAATTGCTATGTTGCTGGTGTATAAACATAGAAGACCAAGAAAAAGCTCTTGATTAGAAGTGATGGGTAATTCCTAATAAAATTACAAGAATTGATTGTGTAAGATAAGGACATCATTTTTTAAAATATATTTTTATTGATTTCAGAGAGGAAGTGGGAGGGACGGAGAGATAGAAACATCAATGATAAGAGAGAATCATTGATCAGCTGCCTCCTGCAAGCCCCACACTAGGGCTTGAGCCCACAAACTGGGCCTGTGCCCTGACTGGGAATTGAACCGTGATCTTCTGGTTCATAGGTCGATGCTCAACCATTGAGTCATGCCGGCTGGGCAGGACATCATTTTGGATACATGCTTATAGAAGCCAAAGATGTCATATATGTATGTAAATGCCATATAACTCTGACTATAATCCCAGAATTAGGAATGTCAGGCTTGCTGTGTATGCAGGGCACATCCTGTACTGCATTCTGATGGATTTATTGAGATGTTCTAAATGTCCTATCTTCATTTTTACCAATAAATTACAAAATTGCATAGGCAGTTAGAAAATAAATCTTCACATGGAACTGGATGTCTTGTATACTTATTTGCTAATGCTGCCAACCTTACAGAAAGTATTCACAGAATCCCAAACTATGCCCTTCTCTAGAAGAGCAAAGAAGAAATGTCCCTTCCTTTAGAGGCTACGGTTTTCATACAGCTGGTAGTAGAGAAAGGGGGTATTCCAAAAAAAATTTTTCTTGGCTTGCTCAATTAGTAAAATAAATTTCAACCAATCACTGGGGGCCTTTGATACAGTCTGTGCAGCATAGAGCAGGCCGCTATTTGAGCCCGTCCATCAAGGAGAAGCCTCTAGTGTTGGGCTCAGAGCCCTCCTCCACATGGCGTGCCGGATCCCTCATTCCCAACCCCCTGTTGGAGAATCAGGCCAAGGGTTTTGTGGTCCTGACCAGCAGTGGATGGGCAAAGCCAAAGATGAAGGAGTCATCCTGAAAGTCCATCACCAAGGTTGTTGCTTAGCAACTCTCATTTCATGATGTAGTGCTTCACTGTGATCTTTATCTGAGGTCAAATCTTATCTAGTATCAAGCCTTCCCACTCCCTTAAGATATCCAAAAAATACTCAAGTTAAGGGTAGAAGCCCCTCAAAATTAGACTCCAATGGAGCTATTACAATTGATTATAGAGTACCTATTTCCGAAAAAAAGTCACAAGTTGTTGACTCTGAGCTAAGAAATGTGATCTCTTTGGCTTATTGTAACTACTATTGCCACTATTGCAAATGTCCTTCATACTGTTTACAAAGTAAAGAGCTTCCAAGAAGGTGTTTGGAGAGGAGTTCA